CTGCCCTTCTTGGAATTTGCCACATTCAGACAAATGTGCATACACAAAATTAAAAAAGAATAATTTTTAAAATGATGGGTGCAATAGTTCAGGTTTGTGATCCAAACTCTTTGGAGATGGTAGAGGCAAGGAGATCTGCAGGTTCAAGAGTTTAGTTCATGGCCAGCCTGGGCTACTTGTGACCATGGATGTGGGAGATGGGTGGAGAACGAAGAAGTAGAGGAAGAGAGGAGGAGAAAGAGAGGAGGAGGAAGCTAAATAAACAAGATAAGGATTGATGAATATGACACCAGACACTTTGGGATGAGATCAAACCTTGGCTTTGAAGTTGGGGCTTTCTGAGAACTGGGAAATTTGCAAGGCAGATCTGTAGGGCAGAGTGTAGAAGAGGGAGGAGCTTCTCAGAGTAGCAGGAGGCAGGGACACAGAATGAGGGACTGGCAGGGCCCTAAGTAGAGCCCTGGGGAGGGTTTCACTTCTTGGCCCACACCCTCAAACTCCTCGAGAAAAAAATCACATTTCATATGCAAGCTTATAATGCTTTTCACTGCTGCACGGAGGGCTCCCCCAGTTAGCAGAGCCCCTGGTTTGGGCTCCAATGATGCGGTGGAGAGTGAAGGGAGGGGTGGAAAGGTGACCTGCTGCTGCCTGGGGAAACCAGCTTGTTCTCAGAGTGTCTACAGAACAGAACCAGGTGGTCCCAGAAAGTATCAGGAAGAGCCTGGGGTGCTGGAGGGCCCCCTTCCCCCTGGAGGACTGTAATCCCACAGGGGAAGCAGATGAGGAGTGGGCCAGCTCAAATAGGCACCCAGCCTCATCCTTCCTAATCCTCCAAAGGAGCTGTTGCTTGTAAACACAGCAATTACCCACAGGAGGCTGATGACTCAGTTCAACGGCCTATAAACTGTTCAGAAAAATAGGGGCCCCATAAATGCAAAAATATCATTATGAGCACTTTCCCCAGAAACATCTTCCATCCTCCTGGGGTGCTGCCTGTAAGGCTCAGATGGACTGATTTCTGTCATAAAATAAAACTCACCTAGTCTGAGGAGCAGGTGTTCTGGTCAGAAGACCCCAGACCTTTGGAGAGGGGAGCCCTCACATTGCCTCACCTCTCCCAGAGGACCAATGGTGCCCAGCAGGTAGAAGTTCACAGAAGAATAATCCTGGCAGGCCTGACTTCCCATCTTAGCTCACGAATGGTGGCCTAACCTTCGCTGAGCTTTGGTCTCCTTACCCCACTCCTAGGATGAGTCCAAGACGTATAATCATCCTTAGGAACTCCAGATACTTTGAGCAACATGAAGCCATTTACAGAAGGATTTACATAATGTCCCCTCCCCATCGTCAGGGCATCAGTTCCAAGACACCCAGTGGATGCCTGGAGTCCCCTGCAACTTTGAACTTACACACTGTATCCTATTTTTCTTGGGCATACACACTTAAGATAAAGTTTAATTATAAATTAAATAAAAATAACAGTAAAAATGGCAATAACTAATGATAAATTAGAAAGATGAAGTGATAGACTATAATAACAATGATTTCTAATTTATGAATCAATTATCTCTTAAATTGCCCATTGATTGTTGTCTTGCCATGAGTGACAGCAACTGGAAACATGAAAGCAGACCGGTGGAGAAGGGGACCCTGTACACGGGTGGAAATGGGGAAAGCTGTGTGGGATTCTCACACCTCCACTGTACTTCAGATAGAACCCAGCTAATTCAGGAAGGGACAAATGCCACCTGTTTCCTAGGGCCTTGAGCTCTGGACCTAGAACAGAGCTCCGTGAGAGCTCCTGCTCACAGGTCAACCAGCATGGTGAGGACAGCTGCCAGGAGTCTGGGGACTCAGAGACCACTCCTCCTCCTCTTCCTCCTCCTTCTCCTCACTCTCCTCCTCCCCTTCTCCCTTTTCTTCTTCTTCTCCTCCTCCTCCTTTTTCTTCTTCCTTCCTTCCTTCCTTCCTTCCTCCTCCTCCTTCTCCTCTTCCTTTCCCTCTTCTTCCTTCTCTGCCTCCTTATCCCCTCTTCCTCCTTTTTACTTCTCTTCTTCCTCCTCTTCATCTTCTCCTTCTACTACCACTTCATCTCTGTTTTAAGACCAGGTCTCACTATGTAGCTCTGCCTGTCCTGGAATTCCAGTATGTACGCCAGGTTGGCCTCAGACTCACAGAGATCTATCTGCTTCTCTGCCTCCTGAATGCTGATATTAAATACGTGTACCAGACTTGGCAATGGGTCTTAACTGAAGGGATTTATGTGGGGAGAGGTGTGTGTGTGTGTGTGTGTGTGTGTGTGTGTGTGTGTGTGCGCCTAGCTGGGTGTCTTAATTTTTTTCCACTTATGACCTCTTTTGCCTTAGAGATGTTTGCACAGCTCTGAATATGCAGCTATGTAAAATAAGTATAAGAAGCAAAAATTCATCAGTAAAAAAATTTATTCCTGGGCTGCGGAGAAGGCTCGGTGAGTAAAGAGCTTACCATGCCAGCCTGAGGACCTGGGTTTGGGTCTCTAGGACCCACACAAAGTCCAACACGGTAGAATGTGTGTCTGTGGTCCCAGCCCTGCTATGATGTGATAGGAGGTGGAGGCAGGAGAATCCCCAGAAGCTCTGAGCTAGCTAGCTTAGCGTGCACAGCAATGAATAACAAGAGACCCGGGAGGTTGTCTTCTGACTTCTACACGTGTGCCATGGCATGCAGGCACCGATAGGAGCACACATGAGTTTAAAAAGATATTCACACAAACAGAGAGAGAGAGAGTAAAAAATACTCTAAAACAATTCTTTAAGGCATGCACATATGCATGTGTGTATGTGTTTATGTACACATATATACCTCAGAGTCTCACCATTTATAACCATTTTACCCTTTATTAAAGATGAAAGCAGATTGGCATATTGATGAGATGGGTGTGCTGGGTGATATTTACATAGAGAATGGAGTCTTAAACCAGCTATGGTGGCACATGCATTTAATCCCAGCACTTAGGAGGGAGAGGCAAGGAGTGAGGTCTTTGAGTTTAAGGCCAGCCTGATCTATAGAGTTAGTTCCTGGACAGCCAGGGCTACACAGAGAAACCCTGTCTCAAAACAAAAACAACAAAAAATAAACCTCGGTTGGCCGATACTACAGGACATGGATCAGCATTGACATCTTTTTCCAGAGCTGATTAAGATTTGATTTTGTAGGAGTCAGTGTTAAGAACACAGATTCACTTAAATACATCATATAAAAATGAACATTTCAGAAACTGTTGGCCATTCTGCCCTAATTTCAAGCCAAAGTTCATGGGAAAATTTCTTATGAATTTAAATCAGAACCCAGGCAGTAATTAAAAGATATTTTATTATGTGTTCACTTGTGTCTGTGTGCAATTGTGTGTGAAGGACAGAGAAAAACTTGTGGGAATCACGTCTCTCCTTCCACTCTGTGGGTCCTGAGCATCGAACTCAGATCCTCAAGTTTGGCAGCAAGTACCTTTAGCCATTGAGTCATCTTGCCAGTCCTCAAGTAGCAATTTGTAAAAGCGATCATTCTGGCCCAATACAATGTAAAGTCTCCTAATTGGATACCCGTGTGCTTAACAGTGGTGGTACTTGTGGTTCCTCCATAATTAAATCCCAGCAGTGTGTATTGATGTTGTGTGGCATGCAGTATGTTCAAAACAAGGCATGGGGTTGTGTGAACTGTCCAGAACCAAGGTTGCAGGGCAGTCATGTGATGCCACATGGACAAGTGATACCCTAAATACCTTGGATGCATTCGATTTTGAGTTAACGTTTGATAATTGTGCTTTCAAAGATAATTTACTACAGTCAATTTTTGTGCCCCCCACAACCTTAAATCATACCAATTCAACCAGGGCCTTACCCCACAGTTTCAAATCTGGGTCCCCAAGACCAAGTACAACCTCTGGAGTCTAACCACTGACAGCTCACGGACCCCTGAACTACCAGCCACATTCCTCCCTTTCATTTGTTCCCATCCATCCCAAAGAGGAAGTTCCTCTCTTCGTGACATCCCCAATCCTCCTGATCCAATTTGACTGACCCACATTTATCACACACCCTGAGAAACACAGGGAAGTTGGGGGTCTCTATGAGCCATCTTGATCCATCACTTATAGGATTATGAGGGGTGTCGCAGAAGAGAGGGGTGAGGAAGCAACGTGGGTACTCAGTGGTGCTGACTCTGCCACTGTGTGATCTATCTACCCACACCATGGGACCCCAAATTTGGAATCTGTGTTTCAGCTATAAGCCCTTTGCTTTGTTCTTCTGGCTCTTGATTTTGATTTTGTGCCTGGACCCTGGGCTTGGTTTAGACGTCTGGCTATAACCTGGTCCCTGCTACAACCTCAGACTCTCAAGTCGTGGCCCTGCTGTCCTGGTTCAAAGGTTAAGTCAGATGGCTCCTCCTTGATGCTCCACCTTTTTGTTCCATCACTTAGCCTTCTGTTTTGTAACTATTTGTTTTCATGACTGGGCCCCTCCTAGGATTGCGAGCAATTAAAGATAGAGAGTGAATGTCAAACATATTTCATAAATGAATGTATAATAAATTATGATCTGTCTGATTGAGGAAGGATAATCACTTGTGATGCTATTATGAGTAACAGAGAGAATTATTTTTGTCATCCATAAATTCCATGCCAAGTATCCCAAGAGGGAGGAAGAAGGGCCTCTGTATGACTTGCCCCACCTTGAACCAAGGAGCATCGCAGAGTTTTTTTTTTTTGTTTGATTGATTTTTGTGTGTGCATGTGTGTGGTGTGTGTATATGTGGTGTGTGTGTGTGTGTGTGTGAATGCATGCATGTGTAGTGTGTGTGTGGTGTGTATGTGCACATATGTATGGTGTGTGCACACACATGCATATGTGCATGGGTAGTGTGTGTGTATGTGCACATACATTCATGTGTGCACAGGTGCATGTAGAATTTGACAGCAGGTGTCCTCCTCAATCTCCCTCTTATTTTTTATTTTTATTCTTATAGGGGAAAATATGAGCATAGTATCCCACTTCCACGCATTATGAAGTTGAGCTTCCTGCATTTGGGGAAATCACAGGAGCCAGAATGTCCCAAGTACAATGGAGAAGCCTCACCTTGAGAAACCACCTTTGTGGTCAAGACACCTTCCATGCCTGGTAAGTATCCAAACTTGTTTTTTTTGAGGCAGGCGCTCTATCTCCTCTCTCTCTCTCTCTCTCTCTCTCTCTCTCTCTCTCAGATGTCTTTGTTTTGTTTTCTTTATGTAACTTTTGTTTGCCTGTCTGTATACGTACTGCATACTGTATGTGTATGGTGCCTACAGCTGGCAGAAGAGGCAGTCAGAGCCCCTGAGTTATAGATAGTTGTGATGCATCACATGGGGGCTGAAAACCAAACCTGGGTCCTCTGCAACAGTGTTCTTAAATGCTGGAGCCATTTCTCCACCTCTGGCAACAGTGTCTTTGATCGAACCATGAGCTCACTGGCTGGGGCAGACTAGCTGACTAATGAGTTCCAGGATCCTCCCATCTCTGTCACTCCGAGGCTGGGGTGATAGATACATGCTAGCCACACTCAGTTTTTTGTTTGTTTGTTTTGCTTTGTTTTTTAAACAGAATCTCACCTTGTATCCCTTGATGTTCTGAACTGGCTATGTACACAAACGGACCTTTAACTCAGAGAGATCCCCCTGCCTCAGCCTCCTGAATCCTAGGATTAAAGGCATAAGCCTCCATGGGACCATACTTGGCTTTCACCTTTTTTGTGGATGCTGTGTATCCCCATGCTTTCACAACAGGCACCTCACCAACTGAGCCATCTCCCAAACCCCAAGGTCTCATATATGCTTTCTCTGCAAATTGACCACCTTAGCGCAGCCTGCACCAAGATGAGTTTATCGCTTGCTTATGCATTTCAAACCTTATCTTGGAGTGGTCGTAGCCCTCAGTATTGCATCATGTCTTCTTTTATTGCTGCTGTAGGTTGTGAGTTAGGACCATAAAGTAAAGGAGAAAAAAATCACTTCCAGGCATTTGCAGCTCTGAGAAGCTGGAATGGGGCTCTCAGAAGCTGGCTGGGTGCCATAGGGAGGAGGAAATGTTCCTCCATGTTGCCAGTCTTATCAAGGCTCCACAGCTTCTTGCCAAAATTTTAGGAAAATGATGTTCTACTCCCTAGGAGCTATGCTGTATGTGTCTATAGGTGGGAAGTCTTTCAACAAGTATTTTCACTATAAATACTTGGCACATGTTTTCATTGGATTAAGTCTGCAATTTGAGCTCCATATTGTGAAATCCTGACACAGGGCTATTAATCACTGGATGTAGTGAAGGAGCCATGGTCAACATTGGCCAGCAGTTGAAGGTTTACAGCATAAAGAATCCCATATGAGTTGTGGGATTCACTCCACAAGAACAATTGGCATCTTTCTGATTGTGAGATTTTTCTTTTTGGAGTAATGATAAGTAAGGAAAATGGAAATGGTTTTTGAAAGGCTAATAAAATCACATGGTAGTGAGTGCATTTAATCCAAGCACTAGGAAGACAGAGACAGGAGGATCTCTGTGAGTTTGAGGCTGGTCTGGTTTACATAATGAGTTCCAGGCCAGCTAGTGAGATCCTACATTAAAGGATGTGGTAGTTTGAAAGAAAGCAACCCCTAAAGAGAATAGCACTATTAGGAAGTTTGGCTTTGTTGGAGTAACTATGGTCTTGTTGGAGGAAGTTTGTCACTGTGGAGGTGAGCTTTCAGGTCTTATATATGCTCAAGCCACACCTAGTAAAACAGACCACTTCCTTTTGCCTGTGGATCAAGGTGTAGAACTCTCAGCTCCTTCTCCAGAACCATGTCTGCCTGCATGCTGCCATGCTTCCTGCCATGATGATGATAAACTAAACCTTTGACACTGTAAGGCACCCACAATTAAATGCATTCTTTTTAAAGAGTTGCCATGGCCGTGGTGTCTTTCCACAGCAATAAAAATTCTAACAAAGACAGAAGTTGATATCAGGGACTGGGGTATTGTTGTGATAGGTCTGACCATGCTTTCCTTTGAAGGAATATGGACTTTGGGATTGTAGATTAGGAAAGCACTTGAACACTTTAAATTATGCTTAATGAGCCATACTAGTAGGAGCATGGAAGACAGTGGTGCTGAGTGTGATCTGATGAACTGTGGTTCAAGAGGTTTCAGAGGAGAGGAGTGTTAGTATGTGGCCTAGAGATCAGTCTTGTGATATTTTGGTAAAGAATGTGACTGCATTTTGTCCTTGTCTGAAGAGTCTACCTGAGGATAAACTGAAGAGCTTTGGATTAATTCCATTGTCAAAGGAAATCTCAAAATAACCTAGTATAGACTCTGTCATGTGGTTATTAGTGTTAACTCTAATGAAAATTTATAATGAAAAGGAGCAAGCTGAGCACGGTAAATTATAAAATGTAAAATCTGAGGAGAAAAGGAACACCAGGAAATGGAATGTGATGGAGGAAGGTCATTGGCCAATAAAGAAACTGCTTGGCCCTGTGGGTGGAGTAAACAGAAAAAATGCTGGGAGGAAGAGGAAGTGAGGTCAGAGACTCGACAGCTCTCCTCTTGGGAGAAGACGCCAGAGAGAGACGCCATGCCCCGCTCCCGGGATGAAGCTCTGACCCGGGATGGACTAGGCTAGAATCTTCCCGGTAAGCGCACCTTGGGGTGCTACACACAGATGATTAGAAATGGGCTAAATTAATATGTGAGAATTAGCCTAGAAGAGAATGGGCCAAGCAGTGATTAAGTGAATACAGTTTCCGTGTAATTATTTCGGGCATAAGCTAGCCGAGCAGGCGGCTAGGGTGTTGGGGACGCAGCCCCGCCGCCCTTATTACTTCAGGAATGGAACTTAAGTCCTGTGTTGAAGGAGATAAACAGATTAAGAAATGGAATAAAGGGAGTGATGACCTTAGGTTAAGATCCCAACCAGCTAAGGTTCCAACTTGTTGAGAGGAATTTTTAAAAAGCTTAAAGCAGGGTGTGGTGCTACATGCTTTTATTCTAGTACTCAGAAGCCAGAGACAGGTGGATCTCTGAGTTTGAGGCCAGCCTGTTCTGCAGAGCAAGTTCCAGAACAGCCAAGCTTAAGCTGTGAAGGAAACCATGGAAAACAGAAAGCTGCTGAAGATGTAACTGAATAAGGGGGCCATGTTCCAGCCCCAGCAAGCAGCAGAACTTGGCAGCTTCAGCCAGATGGTTCTGACCTTACAGCTAAAGGACAGAATAAATGGGTTATAGAACCTTTCTCTGTGACTAAAGAAAGCCACTGGGGCCAGGCTTGTGTCAGGGGTGTTCCTGCATGGAGGCCTAGAGAGGCCATTGAGTGAAGCTGTGAAGGTGAGCCTGGATTGCCTTGAAGACCCCAAGGTGTTGGAGATGTCAGAACTGTGGGATACCTGCTTAGGAAAGCTGATAACACAGAGTGGAACCAGCCCAAGAGAAAGAAGTGTGTATCAGTCAACAAAACTAAAAGGAGTTAGAGATCTGAAGAGCATTTGACATCAGACAGGGAGAAGCAACGTTTGGGGCTTCATCTGTCAAATGAAGGTGTTAACAGCACTTACCTGTTGGGGTGACCATGAGAATGGAACAGAGAGTGGGCTTCTTTTCCAGGCCACAAGTACAAACACTTTCAATTTGCTCAGATGTTTTTCAGTCTTGCTCTGGTCCAGTATTTCCACACTATGCTCTCTTCCCTACAGTGTATATCCTGTGTCATTATATGTTGGAAGTCTGTGATCTGTTTTTTTGACTTTGATTTTATAGGGGATTACAATTAAGAGACTGCATGGATCTCAGAACAGACTTTGAACTTTGGACTTTTAAACATTGTTGAGACTGTGATAGACTATAGGGACTCTTGAAATTGGACAGAATGCATTTTTGCATTATGATTTTGCTACAAGTCTTTAGGGCCCAGGGGTAGTTTTAAAGAAAATGGCCGCTAAAGGGAGGGGCACTAATAGAAGGTGTGGCCTTGATAGAGTATATATGACCTTGTTAGAAGAAGTCACTGTGGAGGTGAACTTTAAGGTCTCCTGTATGCTCAAGCCACACCCAGTAAAACAATTCTCTTCCTGTTCCTGTAGATCAAGATATAAAGCTCTCAGATCCTTCTCTAGCACCACATCTGCCTGCATGCTGCCATGTCCCGCCAATGATGATAATGGACTGAACCTCTGAAACTGTAAGCTATCCTATTAAATATTTCCTTTATAAGAGTTGCTATGGTATGATATCTTTTCACAACAATAGAAACCATAGCTAAGAGAAAGGAAATGAGCGGGGATGATAGGGCTGGGGAGATGGCTTACAGTCAAGAGCACTTGCTGTTACAGAGGACCTTGGTTCAATTCCCAGAACTCACGTGGTGGCTCATAACAGTCCATAATTCCAGTTCCAGAGAATCCAACACCTTCTTCTTACCTCTGTGGGCACAAGGCACACTTGTGGTTCACATACATACTTTCAGGCAAAACATGCAATACACATAAAATAAATAAATATACCCCAAACTTGTAAAGCTAAAGGAATCTCAACTATTCTTTAAAATATTTACTCTAGGTGATGAGGCTGGGCTCGGTTGGTAGGGTACTTAGCACAAAGCCTTAGGTTCTGGCACCATCCCCACATAAACTGGGCATGCTGGTGACATCTGTTACTTCATTTACCAAATGGTGACATTTGGGAGGTAGAAGAAGGAAGATCAGAAGTTCAAGGACACTATCAGTTAGGTAGTGAGTATAAGGCTAGCCCATTGAGATCTTATCTCAAAAACAACAAAATAAAATAATAATAATGGTAAAAGAAATGTAGTTAAGTATTTGTTTAGATTCCTTTAAAACAACTGCAATAATTTAATTCAGACAATTAAATTTGTTTACAAGAATGGCGGATTGCTGTTTTGTTTTGTTTTCATTTGGTCAAGGAGTATGTCTATCTGGAACAGATAAGAGAAATTCTAAATTTAATTGTGCTGTCCCTTAGTCAATCAACTGATCGTCAAAGAGCAGTGTCCACTGCTTTCTCAGGCCCCTGTCTGGAAGGATGTAGAGCAGGTTAAGATAGTATTTCTACATTCTATGAATCTAGAATCTACTCAGATGCCATCTTGTTAGAATTTGCTGACTAA